ACGCGTGTGTATTTAAGTGCGTGTAGTACTTTTGAATGTAGGCGAATATGTGTGGGGGTGTTCGTCATTACTTAATTAAGTTTACGAATATGCATAACTGCATGGCGTGAAAATCTTGCTTGTGGTCTTAAGAACCAGGTGACACTATTAAGAAGACAGAACGAAAAAAAACCAACACTAGCCTTATAACATATTAATAATAATATTAGTTTATCGCCCCATCGTAACGACAGGCAGAAAGGCATGTGATAATACTCAGATCCACAGGCGGTCACTTCATTAAACACACAAGCCCACACAGAGATACGGTGCAATGAACACCTAGAGCTACACATGTTGTACTCACCACAAGACTCTGCTACTCCAGCAACAAAGACCTGCAAACGTAAAAACAGAAAAGTTAGTAACGGGGAAAACAGTTGGAGAAAAACATGAGTCAACGTACGACTTACTTTTAGAGAAAACTACGGATTGGCCATAATGGATTAATGGATTAACGAAGAAATGAACTGATAAATTTGAACATACATACGGAAAAATAAACAAAGTGTTGGATAAAGGTATCAATCGGAATGAATGAAATTTTTTATCGGTCTAAGGATACAGACTTTAATAGTGCAATTAAGTCTCGGCAAAGATTAATAGAAACACGAAAGAAGCAATGGTAATATTTCTGCTTCGAGCAAAGCAAGGAATAACGAAACGAGTGGTCAGAAGTACAGACAGGCAGACCTAAAGAAAAAAACCAACAACATAAAAAGCATACAGACAAACAAACAGACCGACAGGTATGAACGTAGGCAGACATTGCGGCAGACCGATATGGAAGGTGGTATGTACGTAAACAAGTTGGCAGTTAGGGCCCTCTCAATCCCCCCCCCCCCTTTCCCCACACAGATATACAACCACACGCAGAGAGAGAGAGAGAGAGAAAGAGAGAGAGAGAGAGAGAGAGAGAGAGAGAGAGAGAGAGAGAGAGAGAGAGAGAGAGAGAGAGAGAGATATGTCTGAATACCTTCGGCGAACGCCGAAATAAGTATGGGCTATAAACTAGAAACAAGGAGAACAAAGTTAAGGGAACCAGTCAACACACCTTATTATTCTCCTGAAACTGCATACTGAGAGAATTAACACGTCCACAACCGCCCTTCCGAGTGAACGCGTGCGC